GAGCCAGTTCCTCCAGAGCATCCGGAGTAGCACCGTTGGTATCACAAGCTATTAAAGCGGCCTGGTACTTTATTTAGCACTACTGCCAAGGGAAGGCTATATGGCACATCGAAGGTCACAGAGGGATTTTGGCGGTCCCTGGGTAACTCTCCCACGGGCCGTGTGACCACTTGTCAAGGAGAGAGGCCACCCGTGGGGATTCTGAAGGACATCAAGCCCTTGATGGAACCGAGACCCACTACCCTATCAGGGCCAGCGGCAGCAGCGACCTAAAGTCACCTGAGAGTCACCAATGACACACATCACATGATACTATGACCTGGTATCGCCCTGGGGTCACCGACAGTACAAAACACGTGACACTAGCAGTCCCAGTAAATACCAGTTGAGTGTAGGTGGCGTGACGTCTTTCACAGCGCTCCCGGTGCACGTGTCAGGCAGCCACGCCTCGGGGAAGGGTGTCGTGCACTCTCTCAGCTCCCGAGACAGGGACGTGAGAGAACCTCACTGCCCAGGAAGGCCAGCGTGATGCCAAGGTGATATGGCTCCAGCCCTTTGTTTTGCGATTTATTCGTGGTCCGAATTTCGAGCAAATAAGAAATAAAAATTATCCAAAGTACTAGATTTCACTGTAGCGAGGAACTTGCAAAACTTCGCCACTAATTAATACAATTAAACATTTCACTTTTCCATAACCGTCTTCAGCGGTTGTCAGCCCTTTTGTTCTTCAGGCATAATATGAAGGTCAAGATGGGATTGTGGATAAGCAGACATTTGTTTTTCAATAATTCCTACGGATTTTACGCAACTAAGCACAAAAGGCTAAATGCCATTACACATTAGGTCAACTAATGCTTTTAAAGTTATGATTATCCGAATGTTTCAAAGAATCTAACGGCATTGTTTTCAGCAACCCATAACGACATATTATTAAACCATTCCCACAAGCCCTTGTAATTCAGAGATAAATAAGCAAATCCTGCATCGTAATCAAAGCTTGCAAAGCCACTTACATGGCTGCTGACATATATAAGCAGGATAATTAAGTGTAACCGGATTTAGGGGGATAGAAGAAATCACTTTCTCCAGTTCGACAATGCCACTAGACCATGACATGTGCGGTGGGAGAGTGCTATTCCAACAGTCGCTGACGAATCAGCTGAGAAAATCCTGTGTCTGGTTCTCACAGAAGTCAGATGTATCAATCAGGGTTGCAGTTGATAAAGGTGTCAGTTTGTTAAATATATTGTGCAATGTAAGTCACCAGTTTCTGCAACCTTCAGTCCGCTCCGCTCTGAGGGATCTCTGAATCTCTCGTATCGCTGGTGTATGTATGTACCCCGTGGCGGTTAATGGATCGATCGGTGTCGTCGTGGGGCGGATCCCTAGACTGTCGCTGACCACCGCTCGGCCTGACAAACTCTGATTAGATAGCGTAATGAATTTAGCCGACCACCACAATCGTCGCCCTTATCGTCGCCCTGTCGACCAACTACACACGCACGTCGCGACACACACGCCTGTCCAGCGCGGATCATGACAGTAAATTCAGGAAAATATTTATCACCAAAAATTTTGTTTTGGACGGTACCTGATTGACCTTAACGATGTCAACCTGTAACTGTACCTTGAATAGTTTTTTATGACACTAGAAGTACAAACATGCACAGACGAATTGTATAGCAATGTTCGCGGTTTAACTGTACATCGTACAGCGTACTTTTAACAAATTATGCTCACTTGGTGCCTCAAATTGAGTCATCTGTCTCTTCAATCTTCGCTAGACAGGCTAAAACAACAATAATTGGATGTGTAAGTCCGGTTCACATCTGTCCGGCATCTGCATCGCCGCCCAGTAACTGTCCGGTGGCCAGACGCACGGTACTCGTGAGAACCGCCAAGCACGAAGGCTTGCGCTGCGACCCAAAACACTTCCTGGTCCGGACTCACGGGACAAATAACGCGGCGTTTATCATGGCGATGGGTGGAGTCTACTACCAACACGAGAGGTAGGCTCTTGGACTGGAAATTCTTAGTAAAGCCGAGTCTTGGCTGGCTCTAGCGCGTGAAGTTGGTGAGATATGCGCGCTATCTGACATCTGAACACAATGCTGCGTACGCAGATTTCGATTTGCTCAGAAATAAAGATGCAATTGGGATGCGTTCTGGAGGATTATGACCCAACATCCGCCGTCCCGCCCAGATAGGCTCCTCAACCAAATCCGAATGCATGAAGCTTATCACCGCGTCCGTGAAAACCCACCGTTTAACGTATTTACGCCGTCGTTTTTACACAAAGGCAGCTAATCAGCCCGCTGTCGGTTTTATATGTCACGTGACAATGCACCGGCTGGCTACCATGAAGCCTCTGAAGCCTTTAAAGACTCTCGCTCAAGGTCACGTGATCGTCTGTCTGCGATCGGCTGCCTCTCAGGAGGGTCTGTGAGGAAGGAAGTGCGGTGAGCGGTCCTCCAGGAGGGTTCGCTAATTGGGAGTCTCGGAGGAAGGGATCTCGAGTACCGGTCCGCTGGTCCACGGCCCCACCTGGTGTTTACGGGCCGGAGAGGGAGGAGGGCACGCGGCCCAGCTGTCTGCCGCACACTTCAGACAGCCTCCGCTCTCCAGCGATCAGTGGGGCATCACTCGGAGACTGTCTGCTGAAGGCAGTCAGATATTCTATATGACAAACATTTCTCAACAGATGGCATAGAGATGTCGCTGAATAACTGCATTACAGAGGATGTAAAGCCGTTTTATAAACGCTAAAAATAATAGCTAATTTTAGTTTACGGAAATGCGTTGAAAGGTGGCGACGCTGGTTTATCCGCTGAGTCCAATGCATGCAAGCAAAACTGGCCCATTCATTGTCAAAATAATCATAAAGCATTTCTCCTGTCGCCAATCACGCAAACCACTCGAGGAATCCCAGACATATCTATGTAGACGATAGTTGGTTTCTTTACGACAATGTCGCATTTTGCCACGTTATCCGATTGTGCTGTTGTTGTTTGGACATTGAAGGTGTTTTGAGATGGCCTTCACCCAGTGATAGAGGTGAACCGGTTTGTCCACACGTCTCACACTATAGCGGGGGGAGGGGGGGGGGGGCAGACGACATATGTCAGCTCCAGAAGGCGTCACAGCCACCTCACAGTCACATCAGTGATACGTCACGGTCACATCAGTAACACAGCACGGTCACATCAGTGGTACAGCACGGTCACAGCTCTGTGACACAGTACCGTGTTTTGGCGTGAAATCTGCCGAGATGTAATTACCGACTTTTGAATTGGCCTCTTTTTAATCCCCACCGTAATGAACTTGGACACGGGAATCACAACACAATGTGTCCAGAGCCCTAAGATTATCCGTGGTAGCCAGGCCTCACGACAGCGCCACCCATGGTGATTGCTCACTTCAGTCATGCCGTTTGGAGCTTGCGTCATGGCTTCGGTTTCAAGGCTGTCAGAATCCGATTGATGACATGAATAGTGTGTCCAAGGCTATAAATACCGTCCTGAAAAGCTTACGGATGCTGCCATAAAACGGTAGTCAAAGTCTAAGATTTGAAAGGATCTCTAGAGATCGGTGTGGGCAAAATTTATGACGCCATTCGTGCACACGTACACAAATGCTGAATCGCTTATCTCTGTCATTATGATTTAATGCCGGCTCACATAACGTGCAATGCACTATAACTTATTAATTTTCTACTGTTTTATAGGGGCCATTCACGTAATGTTGAAATTCACAATGAATGTATGAATGCTGAATGAGTATGGAAATTAGCATAGCGCTCTGAGCTCTAACCAGTGCAGATCTGGGCAACGTGGTAGAGTGCCACTTCTTAGTTTTCTTGATTTATTTCATAAATTGGGTTTCAAATTATTCTGTTTGTAAATGCAGCTTGTTGCGTCAAGAGGCTGTGCTGGTTCGTTCGTCAATAACCCTTTGATATTCCGTGAGTTATTCGTGATGCTTATAATGCATTAGCGGCGTTTGGACAGCCAGCGATGCTATGACGCAATCCAATCAGGCGCCGGCCTGCTGCTACCGTACAGCTGCTAGCGTACACAAGCCACTGTCATATATTGCTGCCTGCCAGGTCAAAGGAACAACATGTTTTGAGCCGGCGCGGCGCACCGCGTATTGATAGCAGATTCAATTAGTTCCATCATCATTTGTGGGTCAATCCGATTAATCGTTTCTTCTGACCTTGGCCATTTCATTGTGATGTTATTGCTGTATCCTTCACGAGCTCTTTCTTCTATGGAGAGGTTAGCCTTGCATGAAAGGAACTTTAACGATCGCCAGCAAGGAGCTCTCTGATATACCTACTTGACGACAGTTTTCTGGTAATTTCTGGAGTCAACTTTTTTTTGGTGGTGATTTTTTTGGTGTCGCTCACATGACAAGTACATAGTAGGACGTAGGTATATGTCATATACCTACCTACTCTGAAATCACCTGTCGTTTAGGAATTCCTGTGCATACAGAGGAGGGTATTTCCTATCCAAATACGTCAAGGAACATTGATTTCGTGCAAATAGGAGCGTGTCAGCCTGACGTGCATTTTATAGCAGGCTGTCTGACATTTTCGCTCACTTTGTTGTTTGGGATGCAGACCGCAGCATCTGCCTATCTGCAAACTCTATCTACGATTGGCTAAACACGGGCTTGCTTGGATAGTGGAACACGCTAGATTCTCCCCAGATCGGAAAGCTAGATAGAACTCGCGCAAGCACAGCATACATTTTTAAAGTAAACAATGCAAGTAGTCCGTTCAGAACACGAACGGGGCTCGACTATTATTGCTCACCTGATAATAGCTGTCCAACTTTTAGCACTGGCCCTGGCTGCTGCTCGCTGATGTCACTGGCAGTCCAGACGAACCTCTATCCATCACCCAGCCGCCTCAGTCTGCTGTTCTGCCCACGTAACTCGACACGCACCGTTCTGTCACAAGGAGCCGCGCTTCACACACCCTCCCTGCTCCGCAGCTCCAGCCTCACTGCCGACCGACCACGCGTGCCACCCGAGCGGCCAGCCGCGGCGCGGTTCAAACACGTGTGCCCCCGGTGGCCGACGTCGTCGGCGGCGCTGCAGCGCCGTACGAGAATCAAATAATGGGATATAAACGCGCCGGCGCCGGTCTGCAGGAGGTAATTGGAAGGCGGGCTCGTTTGCGACGCACATCCGGCGCGCAGTGTAACGAGGCGGCGCCGGACAGATTGGTGGGGCCGCCCCGCCGGCCTCGGGAGTCAGATGCCGCCCTAGTGGTCCCCCGGAGTTGGATACCGTGGTCCTCCGGTATCAAATACCGCCGATAGGGGAGGGGAGGAGAGTGAGAGAATCAGGAGAGTCTCCCAGCTTCCGGTGGAGCAAATACTACCCACTGGACCGCTCGTTCTCACACTTAGTGCGGGCGTTGGGCTCATAGTAAAGTGTGTACCGTGCTGATGGATCTTCTTAATTACGGTGGACGGTTGTTGAAATTATTGTCATCATGGTTTGTAGTCAATGACAATCGTTGAACATTGTGTGGCATTTAACCAACTAATTTTGAATGTGCCATATGTAAGGCATAAAGGTAGCATAACATTGTCACTCGCCGTTTTATTCACTCGTTAAATACTGCGGCATGGCAATTAAGCATTGTGGTTCACTTTTGGAATGTGAAGATAGTGGCCAGCCTGCCTTAACATCTTCATTAGTGCCGTAAGCTGACAGAAACAGTAGAAAAAGCCGTCCAAACTCTTTTTAATTAAATCATGTCTGGAGCTTCGTTCCGTCAACGCACATGTATGTAAGAAACACAAAGGCATTGTAGTCCCTCTCGATAAAATCACACATGTACCGCAAAAGTAAACTAATATTACATACATTCCAAAGATAGCATCGTTCCATTTCACCGAATTCCTTTCTTACCACAGCAGACGAAAATGTCAAAAAAAGACTTTAGAGTTTTGTCCCGCGTAAGCAGGATACTCTGCTACTCCCCATCGCAGTCTCTCAGTTACTGCCCTATGCTTCCGTCGCAGTCTCGGTGTTACCCTCTATATCTTCGTTGCAGTCTCCAGCCACCCGCCTGCCGGCCGGACGGGGTACCGCGGGTCAGTTGCTCAGTGGTGACCGGCGCCGTTCCCGTTACCGGCCCGGTGGGTGGCACACGGTCGATGACGGGTCGTCAGATCGCCCCAGGGCAGACTCGGCCACCCGCCTCGGCTGGAGAGGACGCCGCCGGCAGTGCCCCCAGGGCCCAGTTGGTGAGTGTTTTGGGCGGGTCCACCGGGCTGGGTGGCTGATGGTGTGGTGGGCCGCAGGCACTGCTGTTGGGTGGTCAGTATTGAAGGCGTGTTCTTGTGGTGCTTTGATGCATTGGACGATACATTGGGTAAGTGTTGTGAAAAGGTTTCCAGTCTACCACGATGGTACAAGCATTTGAGTGAGCTTATTTAATTTTAGCTATTGTGTCTGTAGACCTTATTAAAACCCACTGTCAGCCAGACAGACCTTTCCAACAGTCTCGATCATTGATTAGGGCTGGCTGGTCCTGGAAGCCGGTGAGGAGGGGGAGGGAGGCTGGCCACGCGTCACCGATTGAGAGGGGGGGGGCACTGGAGCGTGGCGCCAGCTGGGCCGGTCACCGGATGGAAATCACGCTGGGGAATGGCGCGTGAACGGCGAAGGAGGGGAAGAAAGAATGTCCATAGCGATACTGAAGAGCGGTCGCGCCGTTTTGTCTTGCCTCTGGTATGTTGCCAGCACATTATTTCGCTATTTGTTAACTGAAGCAAATATTTTTTTGCATTAAAAAATTGTGTTTTCAATTTTTCCCTAATGATTCAGCCGTATGTAGATAATGATGATTCTCATAGGTCATAGGTAGACATAGACTGCTTGCAACATTCCCTCATGATAACTCGTGTTTTATTAGGACAACTTACAATGCTCTGAATTTTTATGATGAAAACAATATCAGTTTTCAGTTTTGAATTAATGGAAGGACAAACACGAGAATGAGAACTGAGCACATCGCCAAGGATGTGATGCACCTCGGCATCTAATGGCCATGAGAAACTAAGCCATTAATACCTGTGATGAAAACGTCACTCTGTCATTTATTTGGATGCTGAGATACGCATAGCGGCAAATAATTAATGCGAATTCCCCACAATTAGTTTTTTAGTCGTCTGTGTTATGACCTTTTTTGCACATGCCGGACGATTTGTCTGGGAGGAACCGTTGCCGGCTGTTTTAACAAATGAGACGTTCCAGGAATGTCTGAGAGAGCCGTTGTCTTTTTGTGAGTGAGGAGGATAGATTGTTCCACGGCCGCAGTCCGTTCGCATATGATCGGCAATACTGCCGGTTCAAAGAGCCAGGCATGATTACAGCCTCGTTATGTTGCGGAATTAGCCCAGCTAATGAAGGAAACATTGCTGAAGTCACTCCTTCATTTAAAGAGGCAGAGACTTAAACTCCAGGAGTTACAGGCCCGTTGAACAGTGAACAGATGAACACGGTGCATGAGGTCGTCCAGTTCACATCTAACCATCCAAACTCAGTGAGTGGTCAATCAGTGCGAGTGAGTCATGAACAATGTGCAAATTTCAATGTGCAATGTTTCACTTTATCAGTGGTCGGCATAGTGTGTGGCTGGACTCCATGTTGGAAACCTGTCAATAGGTGATTTAGTGTATTCAGAAATATTTCATTGCAATCAGCGATGCCGAGCACCGACGTCGTACATTTTGACTCTAAGCACCAAAGCTGCACTGACCTGATGCCCAGTTTTGAATTGAATAGGCCTAGCATGACTCAGTATTTATATGACCTGGTAGAACTAATGCTTTACATTCAACGATCACAAACATAAAGTTCACGATAAATGCAGCTTTTGGATATTTCGAAGGCGTTTTTTTTTTATCTAACTCAATTAAAGTAACAGCACATGGCAAACCTTACACCAGCAACAGCACACTTTTCTCGCAAGGTAGGTGTGAGTAAAGAAAATATAAATTTCAAGAAAAGGTCCAGGTACCGCTAACCACATGCAGCTGCGCATGTGGTGAGATTGTCAGAAATCCAGTGGTGAAATGGTTGTCAAATCTTGCGGTTTGCCAGTTGGTAGACAGACTGGGACGAATACAGCATAGCTGATGTATTGTTCCGGGTACTATTTGCTTCGGATCATGACTGCAGTTATTGCTGAAAGTAACCGCTCAAATCCATGAGCATGTTACGGCTTTATGCTGCCTAACCACGTTCCATCACAGTCCTGAATGTTTGAGTATAAAAAGGAAAAGTTTGATTACGAATTTCATGTAGCTGATGAAGGTATTTTTAATGAATGTTTTCCTTAAAGTCTGAGTATAGAACACACATGGATCACTTTCAACACATTCTTCAAGGTATTTGATTAGGCTCACTGCTGTCTATGTTCAAGGATGGTGCGTTTGAAGCTCTATACCCCGGACCACCGAGACCCCTAGACAGCGACCGTGCTAGTCACCGTCGTGCAGCGTCGCCATTTGTGGTGTCTATCTCGGTGATGAAAAGTGCCGACAAAGCTGACGCCTTCGCTATTTGCACGGATTAAGGTCCACGTGCGGCGAGGGTGACAGTGAAAAACACGAACAACATCGCTCAACATGGTTTTGCCGCGTAAGTCGAAAGTGAAACAGAGGCAAACCATCCGTGTAAATCGCCAAATACCCACCACAACCCGGATATTTTTGCGTGCAGTCCTGGTCTAATCCGACTGGAAGCGTTCGTGAAGGACATGCAGTGACATTGTCCGCACGGTCAGAGGCGATCAGAAGGTATAAGTGCGTGTTTTATCACGGCAACATGACTTTTCGGGAAACGCTGTAGATAATCATGCCTTTTATTTCAGTTCTTCTCTTCTATAATGCTAACGGTCTTTTCCCTAAACGCATGCCTCTCAGGCAATGTTACTGCGACGAACGGTGGCTGAACGCCTAGAGGTGCCTATTTGTGTATGCATTTGTGTGCGCACAAGTAAAGAAAATTTGCCACTTGAATTTATTTACATTTACTTCAAACAATAACTGCTACATAACTTATTACCTGTAGTTCATTAATACCGCCATGTGTTGGCGGCTATCGGCATTCGGCTCTACTCTGTTGATGTTCAGCCTCCTGTGCCGCAGCTTCGAGTGCGCCGTATCACCTCCATCGCCCCCCCCCCTTCCCCCGCCCTATGTGTGCGTCTCCCCCTCGTCTCCTTGTTCCCAGCGGACGTCCATCTCGGCTGGGATCACCGCCAGTCCGGCCGGCCGGCCTCCCCGACCGTGTCCCAGTTCCCGTGGCACCTCCTCTCCCCTCCCCCGCCCTCTGGCCGTTCCGGTCCCCCACCCAGAACCACTGACCGGTAGAGGTGTAACTCTGAGCATGCCCGGTTCCGCCTCAATGAGTGTCGCGTGCTAGATGTTGTCTATATATGGAATTATTTTACGCATTGTGCTTTGCACTATATGATTAAGGTAATTTGGAAATTCGGCTTCATTCAATAGTGCATTCAATTTTTCCTTTGTGTTGTGTAACTACTACACATTCGGGTGTAAACGAATTAAAGAGTATATGATTGTGTTAGGCATCAAGCATACCGTTAGGTGATATGACTTCATTAATATCCGATTGAGAAGGCGCGTGCTGACAAGCCGAGGTGAGCGTAAAACGACAAAACCTACAAGAAGCAACGATCACGGTATCGCACCATCACAGCGTGACCTCACGCAGCGTCACGCCACGCGGGTGCACGCACGTCTCTGTGAGAGCTGGGGTGAGTTCGAAACTCCGCCGGCTTTGTGCAGTGCAAGCAGCGCGCGCAGTCTTTATGTGTGCGCTGATTCCTGCATACGCTTGCGTATCGTAGCCTGTCAGGCGTCTATCTGGGCCGATAAGAAGTCAAACGCTCTGCTGACAGGACCTAACTAGTATTGTGACGACTCGGCGGTCCGCTCCTCGCCCGGATCAGCTGCGATGCGTCGCTGGTGACGCGGTCAGCGGCGGCCGCGGCGCGGGGCGTGCCGGCAGAACGACGATGAACGGTGTTTGGGTGGCGGCGAGACGGAATGAAGCAATTAGGGGGCGCGCGGCGCGCGCGGCCGGCCGCCACCCGGCCTGGCGTCAGATTAGAGGGTGCACGCCCGCCGCCGCCACCGCCGCGCGAGCATAAACAAAGCAGCGGCGGTGACCGAGCCGCTACGGTGGAGGCACTGGCGGCGGCGGTGGGCTCGACTTGTGTAGGAGCCGGCTGGGTGGAGAAGCTTATGCCGAGCTTCGTTATGCTGGCTTATGTACCGAATATTTGGGTGATGTGCTTCTTTTTAGAATGCCGGCTAAGATATTGAACACTATAGAATGTTCGCATAATCGTGAAAAAGTGATTAATACGAAGGTCAGAGTAACCCAGCTTTTGATAACTGTTTTGGCTATGGAAGGCATTTTTCCAGATTAGTTACTCAAGCAAGCCGTAAAATAACGCTTAATAAGTGTTTCTTTGATGTCCTTTTTTTCTCACTTCTTTTATTGTCATTTTCACTGCCCGTTTAAAATCATCATGAGTGAGGATTTCGACACTGGTATTTATGGTATCGAATGTCGTTACTATGGCCATAGTTTCCATTCATCAAGTAATCGAATGATTGGTGCTATTATCTCATTATAAAATGACCACAAATGTCAGTTTCTCGATAATCATGAGAAACTTTCAGTGGTAATAACGAAATTTGATCTTTGTGTTTGAACCATTACGGTTTACTGGTATTCAGTTTATTGCCAACGCAAACTTTTCCTCAAAGATGCGAGGCTTTGGTTAAAAAAATCGAAGCAGAAGTCGAGCGGACAGCCGGACAGAATGCTTTTGAGAAATCAGTGCTATATTGGACATCTGCCGATATGATCTATCTGAGGTTTTTGTCATTTCATTCTGCATTGTCCTTCCCCTCCAGATGAACCATATGGGATGCCTCAATTTCAGACGAAACATCAGCTAGCAATAATTCATGATACCAAGTGAATCTTTTCGTCATTTCTTGTGTACATTTCTTCATGCACCTGAATCCACCGTATTGGCATCTCCTAAATAGACAATGATCCTCTCAGTTCATCATGCGGTGATCTCGTGTGATCACCGGGGTTAAGACCACGGTTACCGAATTTATGGTAGCCTGGAAGGGCGTCCCCATTGTCTGCCGGCGCTCTAAACCGGCTCATTGAGCGGAGCGTGCTCGTCAGCAGCACCCCGACCCTCGGCTGGCTGGGTGCGTCCGCCCGGAAGTCAGAAGGAAGACTGAGGATCGGCAGACGGGCCAGCGAGCTGCCTGACCAGTTACCATAAATTTCCATCGAGACGCGGGCCCGGTCAGGCAGCGCTGCCTCCCACCGATCCCGGCCGATTCGAACCGATTCGAAACGATTCAAGCTAAACAAACCATCGGCAGTGGGACGAGCTGCCCACAGCGACTCGGACACCCGATACTGAGGGCTGTTGTCACCGGTCCACGTGGAGAATACTGATGATTCGCGCCGCCGGCGACTGGTAAATGAAGACGGGCAGATGAGCCCGGGATAAGAGTGAGGTAGGACAGGTATATGGCTCACGCGGCTCGTGCCTAGCATTAGGAAGCACCAGCATCCGGCTAGGTGTTCACGCGACAATGACTCGGACCAGCACAGTGCCGGCGGACAATGCCGAGGGCCAGCAGGGTGACGGCCGCCCTAAACAACGCCCGTGCCCAAACTGTCGCCGGCTGGCAGCGAATTAACTGCACCGGGTTCATTCAGAGGCATTGTGGCGCTCGCTGGGGTGACAGGACGGAGCCAGCGTCGTTTCGCTAATTTTTGAGCGGAGGAGCGGGGTTCGATGACTTCAGCTGGAGGCGAAAAACAGTTCCTCCGGATGTGACTCACATCCGACGGCTAGCTTACTGGAATTGCTAATTCTGCTCGGAGCAGTTAACGAGCTATGCGGTTGCATTTGATAATTGCATAATGCACATCTAACTAATCAAATTGCTTCTATTATCCTCTTAAGTTCTAACCCTCGCTTTAACTGGATGAAATAAACTTAACCATATTATAATTAACGATTTTGCCAAACGATTCGTACTTCAATGAAAGGCACGTTTCTACTTGCCTAACCATTAGGTGTACCTTTGAAAACAAATGTTTCCTTCATACATGAATGTAAACTATGATGGCTAACATTCAGCTCTTAGAACTATCGACACCGCCTCGTCACCTGCTCCCGCTCACGTGACCTGCTCTACACTACAGCCCCATCGGGCGTCTCCTATCACGTGACAGTGTTTACGTCGTTCCTCTGTATCTCAGTGACAGCTGTGACTGTCTTCCCTCAAAGGTGAGCCGCCACACCGGGTAGGCAGCAGCTGGACCGTGCCTGTGCTATCGACTGATCGGAGACTCCGCGGGGTCGTCACCTCGACTCCCGGCGCCGGCGCTCCGGCGACCGGGTGAAACTGACGTGACAGACACCGGTCGGCGTGCGAAAGGATGTGGCACTTAGGCCCCGCCGGGCCGCTGCCAGGAAGGAGCGCAGAAAAGCGAAAGTTAATGAGGTGCCGGTGAACTACGCACGTGAGGTCCAGGTTGAGGCGTGAGAGCGCGTGCGAGAATTGTTTTTTGTTGTGTGGTGTTTGGACAGAGTCGATTAGGCTTGAAATGTGACGGTGAAATGAGAAAAAAAAGTAAATAGCCGACTAGTTCTGGTGAAACTCGGGGAAAGCACTTGAAGTTTCAGAACACAATTGTGTTTCTTATGAGCAATTTTCTTCTTAAGACCATAGATGTTCTATGTCAGTTGTCTGGCTTATAAGCCATACAACAAAGAGTGGCATAAATGCCACCCACTAACTCTTCAAACTATGTACTGTTTGATTTTTGGCTTACGAAAGTTGCGTCGGCAGCACTGGATTTCTATGTGACTAAGAAACAAACGGAGTTTTTCATGCAACTCATATCGCAGCACGTCTGAATGAACCATGGCCCGGCTCAGCTGACGACAGGCGGCTAACCCGAACGGTAGCAGGACGCAGGTCAGGTCAGCCTGCCGACGTGACCTCTGCTGGTTGACACCGGAAGGCGTCAGGCGGTTATTGGATCATTGTCGAGTCCATAAAGACGCCGGAACTGTCCCCGCGACTCAGAAACATTCCCACAGCGTGGCCTCAACTGCACACACACGACCGATTCAAACCGTCCCCACCAATCGAGCACCACCCCGGGCTGACCTCGGCACCAGCACTGGACACCGACTTCCTGCGCGACCAACCGTCGCCAACGGCGGCGGCAGCGCGTCCCTAACGACCGACGCTGACCGCTGCCGCGTCAGTTGCCTGGGAGAGTCCTTCGTGGCGCTCTCAGAGCTCGGCGACAAACGCGGCGCGACAGGGACAAACAGTGGCTGCTACAGAGTGCCGCCGGCGGCGACTCAGCGCGGTCAGCCGTCTATAGACGGCTGACTCGTCCCGTTCGTCTGTGGTTTATTATAATAGACCACAGACGAACGGGACGAGTGACGACAGCCAGACGGGACGAGTGACGACAGCCAGACGGGACGAGTGACGCCGTCGGCCGATGGGCGATAATGAGGAAGAACAGTGGTGGTGACGGTTTTAACTGTGCTTTGTTCGACGTGCGGTGACAGCGGTGGTGGTCGCCGGTGGTGGCCGCTGGTCTGTGGAGAGGGTACGTGGCCGGTGCAGTGGGAACTGGGACAGACACCAGTGAAACGAACTGGTGTCGGGATCTGCTGTGTGGCCAGGGGTTACAGGACACCAGAAACCTTTTCGGGCGACTGGTTTACCTTGGTTCATTCACCCGTTGGTTGTCACTACACGAATACTGTCACATGACAGAAGCTATACATACTCGACGGTTATAACCATTGACCATTAGGTAGGCAGTGACCAGTTTGTAGGCCACTTGACTAGTCTGTAGGCAGTGACCAGTCGGTAGGCAGTAACTATAGTTTGTAGCCATCGACCAGTTTGGAGGCAGGGACCAGCCGGTAGGCAGTGACCAGTTTGAAGCCAATTGCCAATCGTAATTGAGTGATAATTGGGCCCTGGGAACCGTTCAGCAACAGCAGCAGAGGCCGCTCGCTGTAATAGCAGTATAGCGGCAGTGGTGGCGTCGTGATAATAGCCACGGACTGAAGACCAGTAACGGTGGCGATGGCAGAGGGACACCTGTAGCGAAGTACCGGGAGAGAGGAGAGAGATCCGGGGCAGGGCGGGAGAGGCGGGTGGCGAGGAGGGAGGTCGGGAGCGCGGCGCTGATTGAGCCGTCACTCCTGCCGCCTGCCGCCGGGGACTGACAGCCCACTCAGCACACCTCAGTGGCCGCCAGACAGCTCTGCTTACCAGCTGTTCCGGGTAGCGGGACCGCCGGCAATGTTTTGGACGAACGCAAATTAATCAGAGGGATCGCTGACGTGAAACCACACAAATTCGCTCGTATCTAATTACGTGGGACAGCGATCGCCGTACGGTAACGGCCGAAGAGGGGCTATATTGCGGGTAGGACCTGTTACGCTGGTGTAGATTGACCCAACTGACGGTTTAGGTGTGCTCTGTGCGCCGTGTGTGGACTGTGTCCCGCTAAAAAAGACTTTCAGTATCCATTGGACATGGTTGGTACTTACATACTTCATGAAGTTGGGGAACACTATTCCTCACACCCCGATCCAGGCTGCCCTTTAAATTGGCCCCTGGTCCGGGCTCAGAATCTCCCCCCAGGAGCGTTAGCCCCGTGCTGACCCCGCGGGACTGTCCATATGCGACCGACAATAAAGTCGGTCGCATAGAGATGCGACCGACTTTATTGGTCGCATCTCTATATCCATTTACCTCCAGGGAGGCACTAAATTACACTAATCAGAAGATATCATGTGAAGTGGCTCCTCTGCAGCCAAAACTGGCCCTATTATTTGTTGGCGCCTGGTTATGGGCCATGCGGCGCTGCTGCGTGCATTTGTAGCGCTCTGCGGCGTTCACAATTAAGACGGTGTAATTTTCCTGACGCGGTGCTGGAGAGCGGGAAGAACCGCCGTGAGAACAGCGCCACCTCGCCGTGCCGCCGGTCTGCCGGTTGTACAGACCGGCGCCGCAGCTGAGAGTGGAGAATGGAGATCATTTCGGCCGCGGCCGGCACCGAGCCATGTTTCAGGAGCAGCGGAACGTTTATTACGTGCTGCTTGTTTTCATCTACCTAATTAGCATGTTCAATGCCTTTGACAATAACGCTTCCTACTTACGGTATGTAGGTAGGTACTGACATAGGTACTCGCACGCTATAGCTGACCTACTCGTTGCGATCCTCTCGCCATTCATCTTCAGGTCCTTTGGTGGCGCTCGCTGCCCGGACTCTGACTCTGACTCGGACCCTGTCCCCGTGTCTCAGATGTATCCGGCCGTCCCATTTCTCTGACGTCAATGGACACGCCTGAGTTACGTGTGAGACTCACCGGCTGAATGGCAGTCCCGCTAAGACCGACTGAATGTGGCCGGTGAGCCGAACTGGACGGTCCGCGCAGCGCCGCAACGCTTATCACCGCATCTGGCCGCCGCTTAGGCCAACGCGTTTGCACGCTGACTGGGCCGATGATCGGCCTAAGATTTGGATTATTCAAGCCATAACCATATGCATCACGGGTCAACTGGGCTGAAGACCAAGAAACGGCCGCTTACGCTCGGATAATGGGCTTATTCCATTCAAGCGTTGGTTGAGTCTTATTGCGTAGGCCGTAAATGGTTTGCAGGTTTCTTCATCTGCTTTCGGTTCCTTTCGTTGACCGGTTGAAGGACGAGCAGTCTCTAAGAGGATGAACTCGCACTGAAGTCAGTGCGTGATAGCCTTGTGCGCGCTGCGCGTACTCTTTGAACCGGCAAGTTTGAGCTGTTAGAAGCTCGCTTCCTAATTCACGACAATGTATATTATTTTACGCTTAGGAGTTCATTTGGCGTCATCTCGGCTCCTTTAATTATTAAATGAGCTATGCAATTAAAATGATAACTGCCTTATCGGAGACGATTTCTAGTCTGATGCTTAATTATTTTGTTAGTTCCTATGCAAACAGGCTGCTTTTCGACCGTTCCCCACTCCTCTGAAGACCTCCACTACTCACACTACTCACAGTACTCCACTGTACTGGCATTTCCACCAGGCCGGCAGTGAGCTCGGTCTACCCCGCGCTCGCCGTCTGTAATTGAATCCGCCGTCGGCCGGAACTGAGCCGCAGAGCTGACCCGCTCGCCGCCCCGGCCCATTTGCATGGGTAAAGATGGACTTTGTTTTTGGGTGTCCTGCTGTGCGGGGCGCCCGCTCTGATTTCAGATGTAAATGGGAGGCGGCTGGCCGGCCAGCTACCGCCTCTGTGGGTCAGAGCGGCCTACCTCTGTGGGTCAGGCTCAGGGCAGTACCTCTGTGAGCCAGGGCAGTACCCGGACAGTACTGTGGTTCAGGGCGGTACCTCTGTGAGCCAGGGCAGTACCTGGACACTGGACGGTACTGTGGGCCTGGGCAGCACCTCTGTGAGCCAGGGCAGTACCCGGACACTATTGATCAAACAGCTGACATTTCTACTGTTAATTTCATGCATTGTAACGGTAGATGATGATTAACAAAGAAAGCGCAAGATTGGTTATACCCTGCGCAGCTTTGTGCAAAAGAGCGAACAGTGGTTGCAATCACCTCGCTGCCGACGACACTAGTTATGAGCCGCAATGACCCGAGATTGGCGCAGTGGCGGTGGTTGTGGCGCGGTAATGGCTAGTCGTCGTTTCTGAGCTGCTGCACAAGGTGTGCCTGCACATTTGAAGCGCAACAGTGCATCGCAGCACGGCGCAAATGATACCTACGGCTGGCCAAATCCCAGTTCAACGTACTGGCCTAAGTCGATTCCAACAACCATGGGAGCAGGAAGACGAGCGGGAAATTCAAAGGTAACAATGCATAGCAATCACTCTGCGCTGTTCAATGTCCATGTCACCATACGAATGAACAGGTACACAGATGAAGAATGAACATTGCCTACGCTAGCTTCCTGCATTCTACGATTGATTCTACGGTCATTTCTGGACATTTTTGGTGAGCTATTTGATCAAAGCATTATTATTTTGTACCACGAGAGATTATGTTTTTCGTACTCCAGCGTAGATGGGTAGCCATACGGCTTCCACGGTTGACAGTGATGACATCAGTCATCCAAATGATAACCTTCAAAAGGAAAATATTTCTTATAAAGATGAAGCTATGTCCTGCTTTATGTACCTATCCCAATCAATCCGAACTTGTAGGTGCAGTTCTTTGTCTGAACACGTTATACATTAGATTGGAATGATTTGGTCCTAATCTACGACCGAATTTATCAGTTGATATATTGTTCACACACAAATTCCAGGAGACCCATGCTTTTGTGAATCATTTCACCAAAAATGTAGTGCGTGAAAGAAAGGCCTCGTGGGCTCCATTAATTGTCGTCAACCAGGGGCTCAATTCGTATTCACATTGCGTGGACATTATGGTCGATGTATCGTATTGAAGCATCAACCCAAACAATCCTTAAACTTATGAC